AGCCAATCAAACAGGATTGACTAGTATAATTTAAGATTTCATACAAATTTTTTTAAAAAATATATATTATGATTTTCTTTTATAGTTTTCTCATATTACATATTGATAAGATTTTTATATGTAATAATTAGATTCTAATTATTATTCTTAGATATTTATTTAGTTATTCACATATATATTTAAAATTATAAAATAATATTTATTTATTTTAAATAAAAGTATGATTTCATACAAAATTTTAAAAAATATATATTATGATTTTCCTTTATAGTTTTCTCATATGACATATTGATAAGATTTTTATATGTAATGATTATATTCTATTTATTATTCTTAGATATTTATTTAGTTATTCACATATATATTTAAAATTATAAAATAATATTTATTTTTTTTAATAAAAGTATGAATTTTATTTTATCATGATTACAATTATCATATATTTTTTTTCTTTTATGTTGATTCATGTTTAATAATTATTATGATTATTATTATTAAAATATTTTTATATAAATCAAATTAAAAGATATTTAGTTAATATTATTTGTAACTTATATTCCTAAATTTTTTTGACTAGTAGTTGTCAAGGTAGTTTAGGATAATAGACTTGTGAGATATAAATTATAATAAATATTTTATCAATTATAATATATTTTAAACTATTGTATTAGTTTTATAGCGATCAAAATGGCATAAACGAATAACTTGACAAAAAAATAATATGATAAGATAGGATAATATATTATATGATAAGATAGGATAATATATTTTTATAGTTTAAGATTGTATACCAAAAAATAACAACATTATTCCACCTCTATAAATAATTTTGAGTAAACACTAAATATATCTATATTTTATCGAAAGGTAAAATAAGGATAATATCAATAATTCATCATATTTTAAAAACTCAAAATATTAATATTATTTCATATTTTAGAGTGGTACTTCCTCTATACACTCTTATGATTAGTATCATTATACCCTTTGATTCAATTTATTCATAATTATTAGAGCATATTTGAAGATAGATTTAAATATGTTGATAAGTTATTGGTTGACACATTAATAAAGAAATTGACTATGACTCAATATAATAGAATTCAAGAGATTCATAATTATACTCTTCATAGGCTCACAAAGATATGAAACTTAAAGCAATAAGTATGAATATAAATGAATATTTCCTCATGTAATTTATTTTCAAATTTTTTTTCTTTTCTTTGGCTTATTTAAGATTTACTATAATATAAATAAGGATAAGTGAGACTTGAATGAACTAACTAGTATATATGTTCATGAAGAATTAAGATTAAAATAAAAATCTCATAATATTTTAATTATTAGTTAAGAAGTTAGTAATAAGAAAAGAAGATTAAAGCATCATCTATCAAATAAATTTATTAGGTCTAAAAATATTAAGTAAATTAATACTTTTACATTAAAATATTTCTTTTTAGTAAGAAAAGATATGTGAAAAATGATGACATGTAAGATTTGGTTCAGAAAGGAATGTATAAATTCCTTCTAATATTTGATGGATTAATTCTGAATTAATTCTATACTTTGATTTATGTTAACAATAAATTTATTATAGGAAAGCTCTAAAAGTTATCTTCTATACCTATAGACAAATTATCTGATAGATCTTACAAACACATGCTGCTGCGTTTTACTTTTTCTAAAAATTTAATATTTTTATTTAAAATTGATGAATTATGATACTGTCATTAAAAGAAAAGACCACATATATAGATTTGGCAGATTTACCCTTGCTATATGAAATGACTCTTATTTACCACTGCACGTATACCACCCGCACTTCGCACGAGTGTTACGCCATAATAAATTTACCCATTTACCCTTGCTACAATGAAAACCATGACACGGGTACCACCCACGCGTCGCCCAGGTGTATGCCATGCGAGAGCGTGTCGTTGTATCGCTCACTACTGTGTTTGCAACATATTTGTGGGATAACACATATTTGATTTATTTTATAACATATTAGAAAATTATAAAATTACTTATTTCCCCTTGCTATGTGAAATTACTGAAGTGTACTCGCATTGCATGAGTGTACTCCATGCAAAAATTACCAATTTACGTATGCTACAGTAATCGCCGTTGCTCAAGTACCACCCACGCGTTGCTCGGGTGTGCGCCATGCGAGAGCTGCTTGTTGTATCACTCGGTGCTCTGTTTGCATAGAGATCAAAGATCTTGTCTGCGGCCTAAGGAACAATCCGTCACAACGGAGACACGAGGGATGAAAGGTGATAAGAAACGGAGAAGACGACGATGGATGATAAGGGTTGGAGTCGGGATGTGAAGATATCGGGCTCTAAGCTTCATCGACGGCACGGTCTCTTCTTCTTACTCGTTATGGTCGTTTGCAACGGGAAAAGAAAGTCCATTAATTTACATTAGTAACGGACGCTACAATACTTTTATAACATTTCGGGTGTGAAATTAGGAGGACCCTTTTAATGTCGGGTCGGGTTAAATAAGAGATCCGCCAAACCGTCTTGTAAGTTTGTAGTCCCCCGTAGCAAACCACAGAACGAAAGAGGATCGTTGTGCTTTTGCTTGGGCTGTGTCGCTGCGAGTGCTTTTGGGATGGACTTGGTGAGCAAGGAGGGCAAGGGGAAGGTCTCGTGGCGATCAAAAGTGGCGACTTCGGTAGCGGGTTCGCTAGGGCGGCGGCCTGCATCAGGTATGCCTATGGCTAAGTTCTGAATTCAACACTGCACTCAAAGTGTTCGACACTCGGCTTACAACAGAAACCTCATCTTGCGTAAATGGGGTTGGTGTGTTCTAAAGTAGTATCAAGCAAATTAGATGTTTGGATCAAATTTGCAGATCAATGAAGGTAAAAATTGTATGACATGGTCGTACTCTGAGTTCGGGATCCTCGGTGGATGGAGTTGGTGAGTCTTAATCTATTATCAAGCTATGGCTTCCAAATAATAACAAGCAAATTAGATATTTGGACCTCACCAATCAATGCAGATGCATGGTTTGGCATGGATTTTTCTGAACCGGTATTATTCTTGATAAAGTCATTTAGTCCCATATTGATTGAGAAGTATGGGAACCAAGAACTCATAAATCCGTCAGGTCTCTTTTACTCCCAAAGATGTTTTTTGAAGTTCACGTGCTCCGAAAAGGATAAAATCGTACAGATACGTCCAAAGCGAATAATTCAGGCTATTTAATCTCACGTTGTGTCATGGACAAACTTTAAAATAGAATGTTTGATGTAATGCTTATGTATATCCGTGTCTTTTGGTATATTCATGTTTTGCACAACATGTAGAGGGACGGTCGAAGATTTAATAGTCTCATTTTAGTTGGGTTTGGTAGTCGTATTAGGTTTGTAAATAAAGATTATGTTATGTGGACACTTGTGAGAGATTTTTGGTCTATAGTGGACCATTTTGACCCTTTGTTGTGTAACTGTTCAGAGCTTGTAAAATATGTTTATAATTTGCATTGTGTATGAAGTATTTCTTGGAATGTTTGCTTGTGGATCCCGAGTGATGCACTTTCTTTAACCCGTTTTCTCTTTTGTATGTCCTAAAGGATTATGGGAGGTTTTAGGGAGGCTGATATTTACGGACGGACATATAAGGATGCCGCACGATTTAGGCAAAACCAATTAAATTCGTGACAGTTGGTTGATGAGACTTTCCTTTCATAACAACATACCAAAGAAAAGTCTGTGCATGTAGAAGTCTTCTCATACTTGAATTCCTTATTTATCAAAATTATTATGTCTATAAATCCAAAACTACTTGATAAAATATGCATCATTTAATACAAATTCATGTTTTGCAGGGATTGTCGACACTTGTACTTTCAACGAGGAGGAAGAAACAATGCGTTCGATGTGTTCTATTTCCTCCGAAGATTACAACAGAGAGAAAGAAAGCCGGATGGGGAAGGAATAAGAAAAAGGTGATGTGGAAATCATTTTGTCGCTTTGAGGTTCGTGCTTTAACCTTTTTTACTCTGAAAATATATATATTTTTTAGGATCAGAAAACGAAGGCTGTACGGGGAAGCCCCCAAACTCCATCTCTTCTCTAATCTTCGAACACTGCCTCGAGAGATGTTTCTTCTCCTCGTCTAAGAAACCAGAAGCGAAGGTATCAGTTTCTTGGAGGGAACCTACACTTGCCATTTTAATCATGACCATAAGAGTGGCATCTCGATACAAATGTCTAAGCGAGGACAAGTATTTTTGGTTGTTTCGTCTTCCGTTTTCCTTGAGAAGATAACCACGACAGCTATCCGTTCATTCGATGGAAGGATTCTTGGGCCCGAGAGCCTTCTCTGGAGGGGAATCTAAGAACCCTAAAGCTTTCGGCCATTGACTTGTCTTGAAGAAACCTTCTTCTTTTAGCGATGAAGCAATGGCCCGCTTTCAACTTTCTTTTGTTTCTTCCCCCCGTTCGCTAATCGCTCTGATTCCGAGTTGCTTCCTTCCGAGGTTAAAACCCTCGAGTTTTCATCCATTCCAGTCATCACATGCATCATGCCTCGCAACCACAAGTGGGGCCCTCTGGGCCTCACGAGGTTGGCCAATCGCCGAGAAGGTAAGCGGTGCGGGCGGCGCCGACGGTGACGAGGAAAACGTTACTCCCCGGAGATTCTAACCTCCCCACGCCACACACGCACGCACCCGTCCACATCCAGCCATTCAAATGACCGGTTTACCCTTCCATACATGCGCTTCTCGCCGATGTACTTTTTTAGATTACTAAAAAGCCCCTCCGGACAGTCATTATGACGAATCTGACCTCCTCATCCGACGGCCGATGAATTTTCAGACTTCAGGCCACGGACGCGATGAATGGAGGGTACTTCAGGTATTTCAATAGAGCAGAGGTATACGGTAATCTTGTTATTATGACAACTTGGGAGGCCATTTATGTGATAGGCCCACTATATATATATATATATGAGTCCACCTCCCCAAACTCCCTCGTCCGGTCTTTTCCCACCTCTCTACTTGTGTTTCTCGCGCTCCTTCTCTTCCTTCTTCCACAGCCGTCTGCCGCCGGTATCACGGCGGAGGAACCCGGCGGGTTCCGATCGCCCCTTTTCTTCCTCCTTCGTCATCCCTTTTTTAGCCCTTTTGTCTGCGGCCCATCTGGTAACTCGTTTACTATCTTCGGGCCTTTTCTTGGCCTCGTCTCCTTTATCGATCTTGATCGCACCAAGCTGACGTGGCGAGAGGCGGAGGCCCACCGATGTCGATCCGCGCACCGAAACCTGGCGTGCTGGGAAAGCGGAAGGACCGCGAGCCGTCCGACTCAACCCGCACGCAATCCCTGAGCAAACCCGAGCCGCATCTGCCGGACGCGGCCACGGCGGCTCGGCCCACGCCGGTCGGGGACAACCGGCTACTGGCCGGACTCCTGGCGCAAGAGTTCCTCACCCGGGGAACGCTCTTCGGGAAGCGGTGGGGAGGGGGTAAGGGCTCCGACCCGGCCCGGCCGCCAGGCGGCACCGAGGAGGGCCCGGCCAGGCCGGGTCGGCTGGGGTACGCCGAGGTGTCCTACCTGCTGAAGTCGGACGCGGCCCATATACCGGGCGTCGTCAACCCCACCCAGCTCGCCCGCTGGCTTCAGTTGTGAGTGAGGATGAGGTTGTCCCCGACGCGGTCCGCTGGTGGGTTTCCCTGTGCGCGCATTAGCCTCCTTCCTCGATGTGGTGAGTGACCCAAAACCACCCCGCCCATGAAAGGACAATAAAAGGTAAGCCTTTGACATTGGTGGGCGTTCTTTTTCTTTTCCCTCATTTTGATTTCCATGACCCCTCTCTCTCTCTCTCTCTCTCTCTCTTCTTGATTTGCTTGATCGCTGTAACTATTCATGACGGCCTAATGGCTGGATTTGACGATGGTTTTGCTTGCCTTGTCGTCTTCGTTTCCTTCGGCGATACTCCTGAATCATTGTGTTGTGTGTTGTGGAACTCGTACTAAATTCTGTAGCAGCGTGTGTGTTTCTTCCCATGCGCGCTTTTACTGTATGCAACGGTCCATGGCATAGAACTGCTATTTTGTATGTTGCGGAAGTCCAAGTATTCTATGGCTCGTCACATTCATATGCTTTCTACCTTCATGTAAATATTTGCAGTAATAGATATTGCATGGAAGTTTCTCCCTCCCTTTGTTCCTTTGTTCTTACAAACGTAATACAAGAACATTTGTGTGGTGAGGACGCCGATGCATCGCGTCTTCCGTCCATAAATGCTTGAGAGCAAGTCCAATTCTTATTGGATGAGGTGAGTTGTCCGATTAGAAGAGATTGGAAACTCTTTAAAATAAGGAATGAGATCAAATGTGGTGGATCTTCCGATTAGAAGAGATTGGATACTCTTTAAAATAGGGAATGAGATCAAATTAGGTGGATCATCATATTGATTTGATGAATTGTTCCATGTATGCGTTTGAATATTTCTAAATAATATATATGTTAGTTGAGATTAATTTTTGTTGGTACGTGGATGTTGTCGACAGATGAGATTAATTCGATCACAAAGGCGCAAGATCGACAGATGAGATTTGGTCCCGAGATGTTTCTCATTCGCCTGTAATAGGTTGGGCGTTATTTCGAGGTGTCTTATCTTCGTCAAGATTTTTGCACAAGCGATCAACATCGAGGGATATTCTTGACTCAAACTCTTCCAAAGATTAAATTAGTAATGTGGTGATTACAATAGTCTGTCTGTCCCTCTAGGCTTTAGGGTTGCTTATATACCTAAGTGGCCAGTGGAGGATAGTCAATTGCTCGTCAAGGAACCTTTTTATGTCGCCAAGAGCTCATTTACGTCAATAGCTAGTGAACACGTCTCTTTGAGAGTTACATTAGGGAATGAAGATTATTGGGCACGTCATTTCTCAAGATTGGAGTTCGCCTATAATGAACCAAGTCACACCGTCTGGGATTAATGCTCCCTGCAATTAGGTGTTGAGCCCTTCGAAAATCGTGATTGACGAGAGTGATGGATGATCGGTGGTTGGTAACCCAAACGAGGAGGGAGAAAAACAAAAGAATGGGCCTCGTTGCTGTGTATCAATATTCCTAATAGTAGGCTCGTGTGACTCTCCTGAGGATCGAGGTGGACATTTAGGATCGTGCTCCTATCGGTTATCATCGGAGAGAGAGAGAGAGAGAGAGAGAGAGAGAGAGAGCTCTCCTATGCATGTTGACTCATAGGTGGTAGTCCATGACTAATTAGTGATTCAGTGAGTGGACCGCATCTCAATCTCCGATGACAAAGAAAAGATGAGTATAGGAGGAATTGCACTTGGATGTCGGTGGGCTCCGGTAGATTCTAAATCTCTCGAAAGGATTAATTATAATTTTTTTGTAATTAATTATCTTTAATATTTTAATATTTATATTTTTTAAAAATTATATTGGGATAAAGTGAAACATTAAGGTTTCTATATAAGATTAAAAAATAATTTTATAGAATTAAAAATAAGAGAGCAACGGATTAAATATTTTGTTTTTATAAATATACATAATTTTAATATAATTTTTGAAAATATAATAATTAAAATAATAAAGATAATTAATTATAAAGGTAATATCTAATTAACGCGAAATAACCTTCCGATCCTCGTGTCGCAACCGTCGTCCAACCTTTTCTTTTATCTTCGATCCATGGGGCATCTCAAAAAATGGACGGCCTAGACTTGAGATATGAAAGATGAACGGTTGAAATGCGTTCCTATACTCCGCGAGAACTGACGAGGAGCCCAACCTTTCACAATTTGCCTCTCTCCACCTGATCGCCTTCGTATGACATACACTGCGTCGGTTGCTTTTGTTCCCTTCTTTTCGAAAAGATGGCCGGTGGTGAGGCGGCGGAGGCCTCGATGGCGGTGGGAACCTTTGATGATGGTTCCAGTTCGCATTTCCAGTGCTGCGTTTGTCTGTGAGCAATCTTCTCTCGTGCGCCAATCTCAGATCAAATCTTGTTTTTTACTCTTTGGAACCTTGTGTATGTTCGAAGTCTGTTTTTCGTTTGGAACTGTATGTTTCGCTATCTTGATCACTGCTCTCCGGGTTTTAGATTTTGTCTCGTCCCGACGAAAAGTAGAGGCAGTTAGGGATTTTTAATTACGCGATTAATCAACGCTAGAATAAAAAATCTGCAGTGTGCGGTTGATTGTTTCGTAATAAATGGATCTAATTTGGATGAAGAGATTCTCACGTCTATTCATTTATTTTCAAGGTACAACCTCGGTGTTGAACGGGATTTTTTTTTTATTCTTTTTCCACTTTAGGTGATGTTATGCTCTACTAGTTCTTGATGGTTGGTTGGTATCCTTCGACGTATCATTTTTTTGGATGAGGGTTTATTAATTGGGTTGTTCACGAAATTGAATCATCTTTGAAAGAAATAAGTAATTGGTACGGAATTGCGTCATCTTACGAATTGCTGTCGACCAATTTGCAACTGCATTACAATGATATTGAATTTAGGAAAAGAGCTCATCTATTCTTACAGGCCTTTATGAACTGATACAAGCAGTTGAACCATTTGTCTCACTAGTTCTAAGCAAAATGAACGTTCTTTTTTTTTCAAGAATCCTGGTTTCTGAACTGTCATTAGTGCAAGACCAGCTTGAAAACACTGGTTTGAAGTTCGAACACATGCTATGGTAGTGCATCTCTGCCGCACATGATTATACATGATATACAGAGTTGTACATCCATATGTGCATTCTAGTTCCCAATTGGAGAAGCATTTATAGGTGTTTAAGCAATTCTAGATGATTTAAAATGTGATCTTCAAAACTGAAGGCAAGATTTGGTCATATATATAGAACCAACTAGGGCATTGGTTACGTTTTAAAGACTCATAACTGTCCATTTGCGGTCCACCTGTGCTAAGTACTCTATGATTTGTGTCTATAGCTGGTCTATTGATTGAAATTAATGTTTATTCTTAGATGATTTGCTATTCCCCTTGTTTATTATTGTTGTTGATATGTGAAGAATGAGAGACACAATTCTACATGACTGAATGTTCGTATTTCATCCCCGTTTTTTCTGTTCTATAGGCTGGGAAGGAATGGAGGGAATAAAAATGCATTGAACCTCAGCAAAAATGTGTTAATTCACTTACTGAATTTGGGAGAACAGAATGAAAAATGTGGATCTAATCTATTGTGGGTTCCATGATATCATTGCTAAGAAGAAGATACTTAACTTAAATTTTAAATAGATGAATGTTAATATAATTGAAATGATATTGATAAAAATATTGGGATTCAGGATAGGAACAATTGGTAGAAAGAGAGGAATAATATTTTTTAATTATTACTCCATTAAATTGTTACTTTATTCTCTATTAAAAATTTTATCACTGTCCCTCACTTTGGGGAATAAGCTTTAGCATTGATGTGAAGGTGTCTACTCACGAGAATGTCCCTGTCATGTGCAACAGATGGAAATTATTGTAACTGGAATCCTACTTGCTTGAGGAATGCAGTTTCATTGATATATGCTAGGGTGATTCTAAAATGGATGCTACTCGATAGCTTCTCCTTGACATACAAAAATTTTGATGAAGAGCAATGGATCCGGAAGTCTCATAATCTGTCTGTGGGCTTTAGCTATTCATTGAGTAGCTTAAACTTCTATGAACAAAGCCTTTCTTCTTGTTGCTCTACCCCTTATGGATCCTTGTTCCTGTTCCCATTATTTTTTCATATCTTTTTATGAGGATTATCTGCATCTTTCTTTCCCTATTTTTCGTAAAGCATGGACATACTGATACAACAAATTTTGAAAAGTCAGGATAAAATATGACATGGATATGGTAATAAATGTATTTTTAAATGTACAAGATATACATGATTAAGCTTGACATTTATTTATGGTGTTACAACATGTAGTCACGTATTGTGATTAATATTATCAAGTAATTAATTAGTTCCTAAGCTTGTCACCATAAAAGAGATTCTTTTTTTGGTAAAAATATGTAGTCCCACAGTGATAAAGGGGAAATACGTGAACTTAAGATAAGCATAGTAAGCACATTATTTTAATTTTATGTATTGTAATATAATGTTAATACAAAAAATATTAAACAATGTCTTATCTTATATCCATTTTGTCAATAAACAAAATGATCAAGTTTTTGCTTAATGTATTATGAAAAATATCCTTTCGATTCTTTAAGTATTCCATTTTTTGATAAAATTAAAAATTCTTTAATGAAGTATTCAACTCGTATTGATGGACCTCACAAAATAGAACAAGCTGTTCAATTTATACATGTTCCATATTTATTTTCTAACTGTGACAGTCTCAGATGCTACCTTTTCTTTCTTCTTTCCCTCTCTCCCCTGTCCCTCCTTAGACAAGTATGATTTGTCTGCACACCATATTGCATTTTGTTACTGGAAAATAAAAAAAAGAAGTAAAAGATAGTTGAAGTTGTGGTATACTTATATATTAACTAAAAAGCTTATATATCTTATGTTTTTCAGTTAGAGAACATAGGTCTAGTAAGATATATAATCCTAGCATCAGTTCTTTGAATGTTAAATTTGTCATTCTTGTTATCATTCTGTAGAAATTCATGATAATTTTTTGCATCTTATTCCATGGTATTCATCAGTTGACCAGTTTGTTTTAAATGCTATGTTGTAACATTGTTATTAGCTTTCTTCCTATCAATGACTCTTTCTTGACAACATCTCTTGTTTTGTAACTCTATATCATTTTCAGCATTAGTTGAAAGACATTTTTGTTAGTTTGATCTTCTCAATCTGCAAACGTGTACAAACCTATCCTTCTTGGTGTGGAATCACTAGCATTCTCCATTGCATTTTTCATGTTACTGCAACCTTACTTCCTTTGTCTCTACGGCAGCATGTGGACACATATCTTGCTTTTGGTGTGTGAACAAAGGCCATGCATAGGGGTGAGCATCACATTGCACTATATGTAGGCAGCCTTATAATCATTTTCCTAGTATTTGCCATCTTCTACATTTTCTGCTATTAAAACTTGAACCTGTAGCATATAAGACGAGGGAGATGGAAGTTCTAGGTGGGCTCTTCAAATTTAACTGTCTTCATTTATCATGAAATTTTAAAATTTTGGTTTCTGTATGTATGAGGGATTTATTTAACTTTTCCTTATGATATATTTTAGAGGAAGAAAACCGTGCTGACATATACTCACCTCAGCTATCATATCAGTTTGATTCAGAGAAACTTCATCTTGATAATGGTTAACCCTCAGCCTCCTTAAATACCACATATATTTTTTAGCATCATTTCTAAAACAGTTGTGACGCACTTAAGGCGATGAGAGTTCTGGTGAAAATATCAAAAACAGCAGATGTCGAGGTTGTGAACACTTATATTCACAAGAAAATTGCCCTGGGAAAAGTATGAAAAGGCACATTTTTGTGGATGATAAATCATGTTCTTTATGCAAAGAAATGCTGTATCAGCCTGCAGTTCTTAATCGCGGACATGGTTAGTTTAAGTTATGATTAGGCATTAAAGATTTTACATGAACTGACTCCTTGGTAATGTACATATTAATATAATTATTTATGCAGTATATTGTGTCTTGCAAATCTATCTGACTTAAGTGGGGAGCCTCTTCAGTGTCAAATTTGTGAAAGCCTTGATCCTGGTGAGTTTCCAAATGTTTTCTTGGATTTGGATCATTTTCTAGAAGAAGAATTTCTGAGAGTGTGCAGTGAGAAGAGAACAAGTAAAGCCCAATGTCAACCGGCAAATTCATCAACAAGTAAGCTTCTCTAGCTTTTTTTGAGTTGATATATGTAGGGCTCCATGTTATCTGTAAGGTGATAGTGATTTTGACTATAATCTTGCTTCCAATTTGTACCACTTCTGTCATCTGCTATATCTTTTTTGATCTCTAATTTGGTTCAGTGTGTCACAGGTTTGAATGATTGAGTCTAATGTCTTTGGCACCTAATTGATTTGTGAGAGCACGATGCACCGTACCAGCCGATACATCACCTTTGGTTGATACATTGCCTGGTCAGTACATCATCCGTATCGATCGATACATCACCCATACAAACCAATACAGATTGGTACCAATCGGAATTGGATTGATACTGACCCAAATAAGGTCAAGTTTGACCCCAACGGTCATTACATCACCTGTACTAACTGATGCGGGTCGGTCCGATCGGAATTTAACTAATACCAACCCAAATGGGATCAAGTTTGACCCCAACGGTCAAGTTGACCGTTGGGGCCTCTTTGGGGCTTTAAACCTTGATCATAATTTGACCATTGGGGTCTCTTTTTGGGCTTTAAACCTTGACCGTTGGGGCCTCTTTTCGGGGCTTTAAAACCTCCTCCCTCCCCTCTCTTTCACTCAGTCTCTCATTCTCACTCTTTCTCACACATTAAAATTTTTAATGGACAATTAGTGATAATCAAGCTATCAATTGAGGTCATTCTCTTATGTATTGTCTCAATTAGGTCCATTCTCTTACATTTAGCCCCAGCTTGGGGGTATTTAGGTCTAATCACAGTCATATTAATTTATTCATGCCTCATGTGCACTCTATTCTTATTCAAATATAATAAAATTACTATTAAATTAGGAAAAAAACCTAAAAAGTGTTTTTTTAATGAATTTCCAGCCACTTTTTGGTCTTTTATAAAAAATTGGTACCTATCGGCGTATGTCGATGCGGTATGCTTGTACGGACTAGTATGTGTTGGTCCACCCATGGACTGATACCATCGGCCGAGATGGTATGGCTGTCCATGATTTGTAATACAGGTTACTACTACATGTGTAGCAAAGTTAACTCACTTTTTTAAAATAATGAAGAAGTTACTTTTATGCCACTAGTTGCTACTTTTATGTTCTTTGGCATAACTTTACGAGCAATTGCCAGTACTCATTTCTCTAGAGAACTTCAGAAATACCTTATAAATGGCCGGAATTAGGGTTATGTGTGGTTGCAATTTATTGGATCTTTTCCTGCCGTTTAGAATATCTTGTTCTAGTTGCATTTTGCCATGTTATTATTTTTTTGTATATTTCTGATATTGTGGTAATAAGCTGTTTTTTTTATTTTTTCCATTCTATTATCGAGAGTTAACATTAGCTTATTCCATGGTAGGTACTTTACAACCAAAGAAACGGAAGGCCAAAGTACCTTGTGAAGCCATGGGTTTATTATGGCTTAATGAAGACATGTCTGCATTTCTCGTAGGAGTCGTGTGTGACTCATGTGAGGTATGTTCGCCATGTCATATGCCTTATAACTCCTGTTAATTGCCTATAGAGGATCATTACAAATCTGATTGTTTTTAATCTATTATGAATTTATGAAGGTAAGGAAACAACTGCATTTAGAACTTAGGAAAATAAAGAAACAACTCCTCATTTTGCCTCCTGTTACTAATATTTTTCTAGAATCACCATTAAAGACATTAATTCTATTCATTTTTTTTTTAAATATCAAATGTTATTGAGCTTTCCTTTTATTTTCTCTCTTTTTTCCTTCTGCATGGAAACAATTATTCTTTATTTTTTTATTTTTGATTACCCTTTTTTTTTAACTCACTAACAGATATATCTGATTATTGGTAAGCGATACAAGTGTAAGGATTGGAAAGAAGCAGTTGGCTTTGACTTGTGTGAAGCATGCTACAAAACCAAATCAAAACTCCCTGGCAGGTTCAACCAGCAGCACACGCCTGACCACAAGTTTGAGCTTGATGAGCTGCACATGTTCCGTAACATATTACTGCGAAGAGCCAGTATGTTTAACATTGCTCAACAACGTCCTGAAGTAGTCTGACCCTATGGATGATGATCCACATGATGGAAATCACGACAACGAAGGGGGTGGAAATGAGGAGGATCTGAGATGGAAAGGGAAGCTCTTTGATGTCCTTGGAAGCAAAAACCGTTGTGTATTATTATCCAGATTTCTGAAGGGCACTACAATACAAGAATAGTGTCTGATGTTATCAGAAGGGCGCTGCAAAACAAGACTTCCATGGCTAGCATCTCGCTTCAAATAATTTGATTGATAAGGTCCTTTTGTTCTCTTCTCCCCCAAACCAAGAAGATTTGGAACCTCCCCCACCTGCGCCACATTGGTGGCGCCACGGAGAAGTGGAGGAACCCAGGTATCGATACGCTACATTTTTGTGTGATGAGAGAACATAGTTCAAGATTAAACGTGCATGGAAATGAGGCTGATTTATGTATATATTAATGCTGGTGGTACCATAAATATTTACGATGGTTTCTCTATTTTTGCTTTAAATGATTAAGATGCATAAGTCATTAACTAGTGTGCAGCTATGCAGATTTTGGACTGCTGTTGAACTCCATCCATCTCTTTTACGGAACACAGCAGATGTCGGAATGCTGCACACCGGAGGTTAGACGTATGGATATCCTTTGGCCACTTAATTCTCGATCAAATTAATCAGGTGGAACAAAAATGCTCTGAAACCTTGTGCAGAGAGATTGGTAGAAACCATCCTTTATGGCAGTCGATGCAGCGACTTCCTTCCGACCAAACACTACTATCTGAGAACTCGGTGGCTTTGAGCTCTGACATCTCTTACCCGTTGCAATCGAACACCCCCTTCCCTTGTTCTTGTTGAATTCAAAGAACGGTGTACTTGTGCGTGAGCATTGCCTCCGACATTTCGTCAAACACTCAGATGCTCAACAAGATGCAAGTCATTCATTACATGACGCACACCAATTGTTTTTTATGACACCGCTGTAAAAGTTTGGGTGGGCGTTCCAACAATTATTGGGCCACGTATGTGCAAGAACCATTAGGCGACAACAGAACCCTACTTTGTGACGCCATGATGCCGTAGGAAATCTTGCGGTGTTTTGGTTGATTCCTTCCATGCACGCGAGTCCAAAGCCAAGTTTGCTACAGCCCGCACTGAACCATCAAAATCCGGAGTTCACAACCCTCATCCCACGAAGCAAAATGCCAAAATGACACAGTGAAGGCTGAAACGAGAGCCACCCCAGCTCACCTACGACTGTTCCCTTGTCCTCCCGGAGGACAGCCACTCCTGAATGGCCTTTTGGTGCCATCCGTGGACTTACTGTTCCCTCTCTGACTCCCGAAAGCGACTTGGCCTTGGGAGATTCCTCTGCTGGCTCTCGAGAATCCATTTGAAACTATGGTAGATGATGCTGAGATTGGACATGGTGAAAGCTGGGAGGACACCTGTTGATTGCAGCATTAGGTAACAAGCCATCTCTTATTGGTTGCAGCATCTTGTCGCTCTTTAATTTTTACTCCCGTTAAGATGAGGATGATGTTTCAGTATTCCTGATTTGATTGATAACAAATAAAATTTTTTCAATTACACGAAAGAAATCTCACTGTTTTATTAAGGAAAATTCTTCCCATAATCTCTATAAATGGAAAGAACATATCAATAAATTTCAATGAAAAATATATATTCTATAGCATGTTGCCTAGAGCAAGCTCTCTTCTTGTTGTCCGACAACATCAGTCACTCCCTATCAAGCCCGCCACCTTCTGAAGAAGAATCTTAGTTGTTTTGCGATGCCTCTACTCTAATCGCTCATTTGCCCCTAGCAACCACATCGTCGTTCCTGTAAAAGCACGAAATCTCCTCACTGCAATCGATTTCTCGTTTGAAGATGTTGCAGTTCATACCTATTCCAGATGGTTGAGTACAACAGTAGAAACGCTTGGTGAGTCGCGCACACATCTCCTGCGACGCTTTTTCGCATCTCCAAAGTCGGCTATTAGACACATCCTGTCACTGTTGTCGCTCGGTTAACCACAACTCAGGACTCCATCCATCCGTTGTGCTACCCTCATGCGGATTCATCGTGCGGATTCATCGTATTAAGGCAACTTGTTGCTTTGATAGCAGTTAAGATTTTCTTAACTGTACTAGGAAATCTCATTATTTTATTGAGAAAAATCCTTCATCGTAATTCATATAAATAAGAAAAATAAGGAGGATATATCGATAAACTTTAATGAAAAATATATGTTTGATAACTTATAGCGATCTACAGTAATAAGAAAGGAAGAGAAGCTTAAATCAGAAAACCTGAGATGAAGTCTTTTTATTGATCCTGGTCTCCATCATTATCATGCGGTATGACTGCATTCTCCATCGCCATCAAACTTTCCAAGGGGGATCCGATTCAGCTCAACAGCAGTTTCCCGATCAGAGCAGACCCAGCATGACTCAAGAACAGTTCGTACTATTCTCGGCCAGCAAGAGAATGAAACAGAGATGGGCCATTCTGACATGTAGCAAGGTTGGTGCACGCCTTTGAATCTTTTGGCGAATTCCATCTCGCAATGATGCAGACAGAGTACAGAGGCACCGAGTTGGACTAGGAGAAGAGATAAACCAGAGTGACTGGCTCCTCATGTCCATCATCTTCCCACCGGGGAAGTGAAATAAAGCTGGCTTTCCACGGGATGCAGCAGCAGTGCATGCATCAGGGAACATATGTCACGGAACAACCAACCCCTCCTTGCGTTCAGCAAAAGCAGGCAGGAAAACAAGGCCTCAGAACAAGAACACACAGCGGAGAAAAGTAGCTCGGATCCTTGTCCGCTGACGACCGATCCATCTACCCTTTTCCATCAATCTATCATAGAGATCACGTTCCAGAACAGAAGCTTAACCCAGTCAATCCTTGTGCTACTGAGATCAACAAAATGACCACCAGAGAAACACCATTAATGAAGGCGGCCCGAAGAAACCTAATCCTTCGTCACCTACGCATCATTCCGGAATTAGGTTTCACGAGGGTCATAAACAAAGCATGCATGCATGCATGCATGCATGAATATAAAGCTGTAACACCTGAGAATAGATTTGCATCAAAAGCATAGACATCGATTTGACACGTGAAATTGTAGACAGATGGTGACGTCACCATGCTACATCGAGTACATCTGAGTCTGTCTATGCTCGAGGTGTCCCAAGTCACATAAATGGAATCCAAATTCAAGATCTCGGATTCGTACGAATATTATCGGATCTGTCTTCGCCGGTGCAGATCCGAAAACAAAAAAAAGATTATCTATGAAATCTTTTGATGATAAGAGAGTAAGATTTACGAACACTTGTGCTAAGATTCTTTTTCTGCACCCCAAACTACGACTTAGTTTTGATGCGTATGATTATGATTTCCGCACCTCAAGAAACACTCTTCCAGGCGGTCGGGTCCCACTTTGGAGGATGACCGTTGCACGCGTCAAACGCGTCCGATCGATCACCTGGATTCCTCGCCGATGAATCGGCCACTTCGTTTCCCGGGGCGGAACCCGATTGGCCGCCGAGCCGGGTGGGATCGGCCTCGGGTGGACCCCGTGCGTACCAAGTGGCAGCTGGCCGAGGAAACCGAGGAGGAAACGGCGATGGGACTCGCGCTCGCCCGGTTTTATTTAGACCGCCTCTTACCGTTTCCCTTCGTTCTCTATCGTTTTGGAGGGAATGGCGACCCGTTGGTCGGGCACGTGCGGAAACGGGTCTATTTGATTGGCGGGAAAATCGCACGTGCGGGGTTGGTTTTGGCGCGCAGTCGGGGTCGGGTTTTCCAATCCTTGGCGGGAATATCCATAGCCAGAGATGCCTTTCGAAGAGAGCGGAGAGAGCGAGAATATACACATAGGATACCCCTCTCTCTCTCTCTCTCTCTCTCTCTCGCCCTCTCTCAAGTCATTATAACCATTAAATTGTCTAAAGCTTATCTTATGCTCTTTTTCCTCTCTCACTCGCCTTTACGTTCTTTTACTTTGTCACTACTAATCTTTTGTTGGAATTTAGAGGGGGGAGAAAGAGAGAGAGAGAGAGAGAGAGAGAGAGGGCGGTGACATAGACCATAGCATTTATGAGCATTAAAACAACTAGTACTGCGACTCTTCACAGTAGAGCTAAGCATAGGATTCCTTGAAGCTGATACGCGGCTTGGGGATGTGAAAACTTCAGAGGAGACGGGTGTTTCCCATCTGGTGATCATTGTTTATTGTTTCTCTTTGGAAGACGAGAATGGCCAGAGATGTGACTCCCTGCCCCAGTGAGAATTTTCTATATCTGCTGCAGAGAAGTGTAAGATTTCAGTGTCATGCACCCATGTAGCAGCCATGACTTATGTGAGCAGTATCTCCTGTTCCAGTAGATTTCTTTTACATGAGGATTTAATGGCGTCCCCCCCATACCCTATAAATAAATGATCGCAGGAAAAAGAAAATAAAAATAATAATCCCTCAGGTGTTGTTGAATGGAGATTACGACGCATATATATATATATATATGTGATGGTGTCAGTACCAAACCTTGTAAGCTAATTCATTAAGGGACAGCAATTAAGTACACCTGGGCCTATATTTGGACTCAAAAGTACCAGTAATGTGTTGCCACTGCTTGTTATTTGACTGCTATTAGCATCGAGCTGTAAATGCTCGGAGCAAATGTTGACTTTGTGCTCATTTAAGGTCGAGTTTAATAACATTGAATCGAATGAGACAGTCAAAGTTCATATGAATCAATGAGCGATGGAGTTTGTTTTCGACCCCATGCAGAGTCCCTCCCGGTGATTAGAATCGCCGAAGCCGCTCACCTCCGCCGCACCCTATTTTGAGCTCAAAAGAGAATCCAATGAGCGTCGTGTCACATCTTCTCGTCTCGTGACAAATTCACCGTCTTTTCGCGTTTCTTTCACATATTTCTATTTTTCTTCGACATTGCGAACCTTATCTGTTTCCATGACATATCGTAGAAACAATTAACCTTATATCGCTGCTTACGTTCGTCACCTTCCACTTAATATCTCGCCAATATATCCTCTCCTCAACTATTACTACATCCAACGCAAGTACGTATGCATCTCTCTCTCTCCACTCCTAATACAAATAGAATACCCCTCCCCATCGTTCCTAGCCCACTTCCATCGCCTATCCGTCCCTCTCCCCTCCCCCACCTCTTGATCTCTTTCCTCCTACCTTCCTTTCAAAAACTGTCTTTTTTTTTTCTCTCTCACCTTTTCCTCCACCACTTCGAGCTTCCTCACCTCCCCTTCCTTTTTTATTTCGCATTTTCCCACTTCGATTCCCTCCACCAGCCTTGTGTACTTACTTATCTTTCCCTTTCTCTTGTATGTGCTCAGTGTAGATTGTAGAGAAGGGAAGGGGGGGAAGAGGAGATATAGGATATGGGCAAGTATATGAGGAAGGCTAAGGTCTCCGGTGAGGTGGCAGTCATGGAGGTCTCCCACCAATCCTCCGTCGGCGTCCGCACCCGCGCCCGAACCCTCGCCGCCGCTGCAGCCGCCGCTGCGCAGGACTCCTCCCGCGCCTACCTCGAACTCCGGAGCCGCCGGCTCGAGAAGCCCCTCCCGCCCCCTTCGGCCTGCAAGCCGTGCAAGGACACCTCCAAGCCCAAACCTAACCCTAGCTCCAAGACAGACTCTAGATTTAGCTCGCAGAAGTCTGGCCCCAATCGGAGATCGAATTCGGGATCGGTGGAGTCCGTCTCGACCAGGAGATGTTCGGCGGCAGTGGAAGCGGAGGCGCCGCCGGATGCGGAGGTCTCGTTTGGGGAGAATATTCTCGAGGCTGATTCGAGGGACAGGTGGGTTTTGCTCGAATCTGTATGGTAAAAAATCGAACCTTTTATGCTAAAATCAGGATTCCTTTTTTTTTTTTTTTGGCTTTTGTTCTTCCCGTTCTTCTATCTTTCTCCCGTTTTCTCTGGTTCTTTCATTCATCTTTCTGTGATATCAAAGTCGAGCGCTTTGTTGTTACTTGCAATGATTTTTCTCCTTGCTTGTTTGCTTACTACTATATTTCTCTTTCTATGGTCTATCTCGATCTCGTTTTTATTTTCTCGAGGAATTGTTCCGTGTTTTCAGCGACACTTCGTTGTTAAACATAGGTTTTGAGCTACATGTCTCATTTTTAATGAAGTAGTCCGACATCGGTGAGCTCTTCAACAGTCTTCATCCGAATCCGAAGCCTGCCGTGAGCTAAAACCTCTATTCTTCGCTATAATTTATCCTGTTATAAAGAGTATCCACTCCTTTAAGCAGGGCATTCATCTCTAAAAATGCTTCTTTTATTTTGCTTCTTTTCTCGCCTATGTAAAAGTTGTGAAGTTGATTCTTCTTCTGTACTTTCTCAGCGAATGTTTATGTTTCCATTTTCTTTTTGTT